TGGGCAGGAATGGAGTGACAGGGACAGGGGGAATGGCTTCAAACTGACAGAGAGTGGGTTTGGATGGGACATTGGGAGAAAATCCTTCCCTGGGAGGGTGGGCAGGCCCTGGCACAGGGTGCCCAGAGCAGCTGTGGCTGCCCCTGGATCCCTGGCAGTGCCCAAGGCCAGGCTGGACATTGGGAATGGAGCAGCCTGGGACAGTGGGAGGTGTCCCTGAGCAGCTGGGAGAGAAAGGCAAGGACAAACTAGGAATGTGGGGTTTGCCATGGATGTGTTCTGTGCGGAAGCAGGGAAGGTCTGAGCTGGGAATGCTCCAGCAGTGTCCAGTCAGAGCAGGCTCTGGGCAGGCATGGGAACTCTGCAGCACGAACTGATCATCCCCAGGGGAACATTGTCCCAGCAGTGATGCTACAAGGTGAGGAGGATGGATCTTTTCCCTCCCCTGGCACTCCCTGAGGAGGTTTGGAGCCCAGCAGGGACTGTGTTTCTGTAATGAACCTGTTCCAGCAGCCCTGAGTGCCTGACGGGGAGCAGAATAAAGGACAATTTCCCAGAGAAGCTGGATTTATTTGTACCTTTGTAGCTCTGTGCTGAAAGCACAAATAACAGCCCCCAAGAAGGAGCTGCCGTGGCTCGGAGTCCATCAGCTTCCAGCTGCTCAGAGCTTCCCTGAGCTGTGCCTGCTCCCATCCTCCTCCTGCAGCAATTGATTCACTCACAGATAAACAGATCAGCCCAGTGCTTTCCTCTCCTCCAAACCCTCTGATTTCCTGGCAAGGGTAGGTCCCGTGTGCCTCAAATGCCAAACCTCCAGAGCTCTGCAGAGAGGGGGGAAAATCCTGTCAGGAAAGAGGGGTGGGCAGCCCAGAGCTGGGACTGCTCCCTGCCCCACGCCATCCTCCTTGCCCAGGTGATCCCAGCCCTTGCAAGGCTCACCACTCACACATTGGTCATGGAGATGGGCTCATCTTTGCTTAATTAAGATGTAAGTTTTATTTATTATTGCTTAATTAGCATTTAAAAATTGGGCTTTTGGTCTGAGTAACTTGTTTCAGTCCTTTGGGCTCCTGGGAGAAGGGCCAGTGGGTGTTTCTGCAGAGGTTCAGCTCACCTTGTGACAGGTGAGTTCCTGGCTGTAGACAGGAGCTGAGGTGAAATGCTGGAGTTTGTCAACAAGGTTTGCAGCTAAAACCGGGGCTTTGGGCGTACTTTATCATGACAGCCCCAAAGGCACAGCCAGGAGAGGAATTGGCCTCTCTCAGGGCATCCTCCCCACTCCAGCCACTGATGTGCCCACACTGAGCCAGGGGAGAAGATTCCAGCTGGGTGGAACCAAAGTCAGGCTGCTCTGAACCCACAGCAGTGCTGCAGTCTCCTCATGGATGCTGTGGTGGCCAAGATGACCAGGTGGGCAAGAAGGCCAAGGCTTGTCCCAGCCATGGGGTGGCCACAGCCCCAGGGCAGTGCCCGTCCCCTGAGCTGGCACTGCTGGGGCACCTCCAGCCCTGGGGACAGCTCTGACCAGAGAACATGGAGGGGCTGGAG